TAGAAACATGAACAAAGATTTCAACAAAAATACGAATAATTCTACAAAGAGAATACGACAATTTCTTCATCCGTCCTTGAAAATTTAATGGATCATAAGAGGATGAAGGTGGAGGAGAGTCAAAAGAGCCGAAGAGAATTCGTCGTCAAAATTGTGCGAGACGTAAACGTACAAATCGAGCAATTATTCACAACTGGCATGCAAATTTATTATCTCTCCTCGTATCTAATTTGTTGTCTCACGTGTTTACTATCATTGTCCTTCTATTATAGCTGTCAGTTATATAGATCTAAACACGCAGGTGTTATTATTTGCAATTGGTCCTTCCCCGTACCGATCGAACAGCACAAAGATCTCAAAGCAAGGATGAAAAATAATCCTCGACGTACATACACGCTCGATTCAGAATAATGTAGCAGGTAATAAAGCAGTCTCTGTCTTACTCTCTCGTTTTTTCTTTTCCTTTTCTCATTATTTTAATGGATTCCGATGACACGATGATCGACCAAGACATCCGTACATTATTTCGAGGGCACGTTGAGAAAACGAGTTTAATATCGGTCAACGATAAACAAGCGGCTCTAATCGATGACGAAAAAGTGACAGGACGAAGAATGTAAATGTCTGTCATTTAATTTCTATCTCATTATCGTTCGTATCGATATAACTCGTTTCTCTCCTTAAACGTTTCCATAAATTCCTCGGACGAACCCATATTTCTAGAAATCGTACAATTTCGACTCTTGTTTTCTCCCCCCTCTCTGCTTCCAACAAGGTGATCAGAAACCTGGTTAAACCTTTCAGATCGATTCGAAAGCGAAACGAATTCTTCCGCGAGGTCGAAAATCATTGCTTGATCGTTCGTTGTTAATATTTAGAATTATTTAGAATAAAGCAAATGAGTTATAGAATATTGTTTAGCGCATCTCCGTTTATTATAGCATACATTAAAATTCGTATCGCTGATCTAGTGAGGAAGGAACTGAATTTAGCTCAGTGGCAGAATAGAAGCAAATTGGTGTGAAATGAGAAATTCGAAGTGTAAGGCCAATGGATATTCATCATTTATGGATAAACGGATTTTCCCGTCTTGTAATTTAACTGTAGTTAAAGCGCAGACGGCTAAAGTATAAAAGTTGCATTAATCGAAGCCCGAAGAATAGAAAAAAAATTTACGATTCAATAAAGAAGTCCTCGCTCGTTGTATTGCTCTTGTAAATTTAACTCGTCTAGAATTACCGGTGACTGAAACATAAAATTTATATCCAAACGATCAGAGTTCAAGGAAAAGATATAAGAAAGACCACTCAAATCTCTAAAAATCCACTGAAACGTACTTTGGTATTATCCTATTTAATATCTTAATTTTACTCCTATAATTCATCCGAATGAAATAAATCGTTCGTTTCGCGAAATCCAGCGACGAACATCTGAAACGACACTATACATTAATTTTTCGCAATTGTACTAAATTAAAAACCATCGAAATGGCCAACAAGTACCACGTCGGTTGCAACGCGACCTATTGATAGGCCAAGGTTAAACAGCGGAGGCGGGGAGATAGCAACTCGAGAAGAAGCAAAAGTTCTCACATTTTGTTCTCACGTTGGAAACAATGCCCGGTGGACTCGTCGGACGATGAGACGAGAACACGGAACGGCGACGACACGCCATTCCGCTTGCATTCGGCAACCGTTCACTCTGTCGTTCGATCAGGCGTGATCGGAGGGACGAACGAGAGATTCCTAGATCCTCCGGCGCGATGTCTCCCCCCTCCCCTCCCC